CGGTTTTCATAAACCGTTCCATCCCTAGTGTGTGGTGGGGGGTGTTCCCAGTCAGGCTGTTTGCAACAGGACCTGCAAAGCTCCAGAAAAACAAATGCAGGGAGCACCAAAATTAACACTACTACAGCTGCAAGTGATGAAAAACAAGACTGTCAGACCCAAACTCTAAAACATGGAAGAGAAATCTGGAGCTGGGAATCTGCATGATAAATGGAAGCAAACGCAACACAGCCCGATAATCTCCGATACTCTAATCAAACTATACATGTCCATTAAAAAAGGCTAAATCATATAATTTGCATTAACAGTAACCTAATTTCCGATGGAGTGTTTCTTAATGTTTTCCATCCCACTGTCACCATGTGCATGCTAAACATATGAGATGTTTGCCACACATGCTCGTCCAAGAGAAGGGATTGCTGCAAAGTCAGAGTCTTGATACAATCAGCTTGATTGGACATTAAACTTCAACAAGTTAGAATAAACTAAAGTTAAATGAATCATTTTGCAAGGATCAAAATAAAACATACGGAAGTTGAATTTAATTACTCTGCTTGAATAAACTGGATCTGTTTGAGATGAAAAAAAAAAAAGTGCTTAGAAACAACATTTATTCTGCCAAGATAATATGAAAATAAAATGAAGAGATAACTTAGGAAGAAGGGGAGGTAAACTTTCCTAGAAGTCTATATCAAAGCATGGTGAAAATTAGTGCAAAAGGAAAACATCTTTTCTAATGGAATAAAAATAGCTTTTGAAGATTGACTCATGATTTGCACCATAATCCATTTTCTCTAAAATGCATCAACCAGAGGAAAAGCAATAGATTTTTGTAGTTCTTTTTATTCGTTAAGCATTTGTTTCCAGCAGAATATGCTCCACACGCCTTTAGAGGCGCTGTTCGACGGCTGCAGCAGAAAAATACGCAGATTGTTCTGACGAAAAGGAAAAGAAACAAAACAAAGAAATATAAAACAAAAAGTTTCATCACCTCTCTGAATCCACAAAACAAAGAAAACTTTCTCCTGTCAAAGGGACACAATTCTTCATATTTACTCTCATCTTTCATCCAGTTTAACATTTAGACTTGAAACAGTCCAGTTCTCCATGTTTAGATTAGAAGAGGAAGAAGTCGCTGTGCTACAAGTTGGTGCTCTTAGTCGTGTTCTCCTTGGCCTGCCTCAATCCGTACAACCATTTGATCACTCTGGCGTTTCTCTCGATGACAGAAACCCCGTAAGGAACTCGCTCTGCAGCCTTCCCAGTCTCTTCCTCCTCCTCTTCCTCTGCGTCACCCCTGTTAGAGCCTCCACACTCGGACCCCGGAGCGCTGACGCTCCGGAACCGAGCGAGCGACACAATGTCTGAGCTGGAAGCTTGCAGCTCCTGTAGGTCTGCCGGCTCCAGGCCGCACAGGTTAAAGAAGCGCTCCAGCTCCGTGCCGGCGCGGGAGTACCGGTCACTCATGTCCGACTTGGACCGAGTCAGAGAGGGCCGCTTTCTGGAGCTGGAGGACGACAACCTGGTGATGGCTGGAGAAGCAGGAGGAGGAGGGAAGGCGGGTGTAGCACAGGCTGGGGATTCAGCTGGAGGATTGAGAGAGTTGTCAGGTTTCGGAGCAAGCGGAGGTTTCAGGGGAGAAGAGGCTAGGTTTATTTTCTGGATGTAGAGACGTTGGCGGGAGGCGGCCGATCGCAGAGGGAACTGAGGATGCAGAGCTACGGGCTGAAGCGGCTGCCGCACATACTGTGGTGGCCTGCTGGCCACTTTCACCGGGCCCGCCTGAGGCATGACATCCACTCTGCGTACCGTTCCTGAAACCGGGGCCCCAAGAACCCCTGGAATGTCTGCCTTGGCTGGTCCGGATGCTTTTAACCTGACTTTAGCTGGACTGGACCAGTCGGGACGTGGAGGTGGGCACGGGCGCTCCTTCACCTGCAGTGCGCGTGTCGAAGCTTTGCTGTTCGCCGCATCATCAGAGGCCTTACTGTCCTCACAGCCTGCAGCCACACCAGACGGGGATCCAACAGGCAGGTTGCTGATGAGGCTGCTGAGGTGCTCCAAGTCCAGCTGGACCCCATCTTGTTTTGCTTTAGCTTGGGTCGGGAGCTTTCTGGTGGGACGGAGGGGAGTGCTGGGGTTTAGCATAGGCTTCTTTATCTCAGGAGCTCGGACAGGCTGCTGTTTGGAAAGAGCCACCTGACTTTTCACATATTTGGCCTTGTCTGCCTCCAGTCTCTCCACAGCACTCTGCTTTGGTGTTCCTGCTGCCGTTCGTCTGTAGAAGTCCGGTCCCACCGGGCCCTTTGGTCGCAAACGAGGAGGAGAAACTCCAATGGCTGCCTTTGCTGGTTGCCTTGATGGATGTTGAAGCGCCTCCACCGGCATCTTTTAAACCTTAAGTTTCCCGTTTTTCACTGTGAGCTGTTGCTGGAAGTTTAGGTGATCATCTTCTCGCCATGTTACATGATGTTACATCTCAGACAAACGCTTTCCTGCGAACAGCAGAAGAGAAACAGCAGAGTATAAAGAAGAACCTCTTAGTAAATAACATCAATTAAAACATTTACATCCTGTTTTGTTTTTTTCCCCAGAAACCTCTCCACACCCACTTAGAGCCTGATCCAAAAATATTCACACCATTTTCAACTTTTTGTTTCCCACATTCAGTTACAACCACAAACCTCCAAATATTTGAATTAGATTTTAGCTGACAGACTGATTAAACTCGTACCACAGGAAAAGCAAGGAACATAGTTTGCAGTAATTAAAGTTGCAGGTCTTTAGGACTCCATCTTAAGTTTTCCTGAACTATCTCTATAGTTATGCTGCTATAGGCTTAGACTGCTGGAGGACATAGGGACCCCTTTTCATATATTCTCCCATTCTGCAGAATTTGTTAGTTTAATCTATAAAGATATGCTCTCTCTGATTTTTTCTCATAGTAAGTTAATCTGGTCTGTTCCTGTTTGGCTCTAAGTCCATCCTGGACTCATCATAGTCATGTTTCCCTGACTGACTGGCTGGATAGCATGCTTAGTGTGAGGGATTACAGAGAGTCAGTGAGTCGATGCAATCAACTGGTTTTCCTTAGATAGAAAACTTTGAATCAATTTGACTGTATCATCTGGTGAACTGTAAAGTGCATTGAGATGACATGTGTTGTGAATTAGCGCTATAGAAATAAACTGAATTGAATTTATAAGTATTTATCCATTTATCTGTGAAGCCTTTGCACATTCTCTAAAATACTTCAAGTTCAGACAGACTGGATGGAGGCTTTTTTCATTAAAGTTTTTTTCACCAATTTCATTTAGACTGTAAATCTGACCTTGGAATAAAAAATAAACATGCTTTGAATTAAACCTTTTCATCTGGACTCATGTTTAGGGGCCCCTGTCCTTACGGACGCTGAAACAGAGCTCTAATCTCAGGAGTCCTGCAGTCTTTAACGTTTTTTCTTTTTTCTACAATTGTTAGCTCCATTCTACTTTCATGTTCTCCGTTCTTTCCAAAATAAAATACATTTCATTTTACAAGTTACCTTTGTTAGAAAGTAATACGTTTTCTTTTAACAATATTACCATCTGTGTAAAGCAACAAGTTAATGATTATTTAGTATTAGTTAGTTCCGCCAAAATAAACATTGAGGTTGCTATGCACTCTCTCCAGGTGTTTCTTGAGATTGTTGTGCTATTTATACCTGTAGACGGTTCCATCAGCCGCCCGCCAGCATATATAAAGGTTCTTATCCATTTCTGTGACATAATCAAAATAGTGTGACTACAGTCACTTGTTATATTTCAATTAGCTGTTATAGCCATCTTTTTCTTCTATTGTTTAAAAACTGTCTTCTTCTGTTGTTTTAAAAATGTTTAAAAACTGTCCTCTCTTTATTTAAATTGTTGGATCAGATGGTAACGCATTACCCACCTAATATTACCAAAATGTAGTTTGTAGCCTATTATACTACTCTTGTTGTGACTGAATGTAATATATTACACAAACTCTGGTTCCCCCAGCATGACTAAGGCCCCGTCCACACGAAGTCAAAACGAATACGAAACCCTAATATTTTCCAGAACGTTTGTCGTAAAGACGGAGACGTAAAATAAATGTGAGCGTCCACACGAATGCATGAAAACGCTGCTAAATGTATGCCAGGCCTGTAAGTGGCGCTGTGGTGCCAAAGCAAAAATAGGCGACGAAATGTTGGGCATGCGCACTAATATTTATACATGGTTGCCCTGCGGGTCCATTTTTGTGGTTCAGTCAAATTCAGGT